AGGTCACAATTCTATAATAAAATTTATAAAGCATTGCCTTAGATATTTTTTTTAACATCCTTTAGTCTCTAATATCTATTTATTTATTTATTTTAAAAAAAAATCTGTTGGGCCCACTTAGCCCATTTAGCTCGCGGGCCGGGCCCGTTTGGACCGGCCAACTTGGCCCGTTTAGGCCCGGGACAGGCCCACTTGCCAGCTATACTCAGAGGTGGAGTTAAGATTTGAAGTTTGTGACTTCAAAATTTTAGTCCTTTAAAACTATTGAGTTCTAAATTAATAATTTATATATATTAATAAAAAAATTTAAAACATATATATGATTTGGGCTCAAGTTATTGGGTTCGACTGAACCCGCAATCTCTAGGCTAGCTCCTCCCCTGTTTAGACTTGATGGATTACGTTAAATGGATGGATCTTGTTTAATGTTATTGCGATTTCCAATTACGTGTGTATATATATCATATAATATATTGAACGACTCTTCTACCCTTCAAGCTGAAAATGCTACTCCAATAATAATTTAGTACAAAGATGGAAATACACATTCTAATCAAGACCAAAATGTCCTAATAATGGTGATGAACTTTTATATCCTTCAAATATCACCCAGTTACAAACCAATGCATTAACCAAAGAATTTAAAGAGTTGCATAAGTTGGTTCTATAAAGACCGAACTCATCTTATTTACATGAATAGTCTTTATTCATTGATATATATTCAATGATGCAATAAAAAATATTTGTTGTTGCCAAAACGAAAGGACTTCCACATTCTTTCAGAGTCCTTTTCTATCGCCCCTCATACTTTAAATGTTAGTGTCTCTTAGGAAACTCAACATACAAGACTTCTTCGATTTGTCAATATTGAGATAGAGGGTAGCTAAAGAATGTTATGCATTAGTATTTTTGGTTGCTTCACCTAATCTTGATGTTTTGTTAATATTTGCTATTCATTTGCTTTTCTTTTACGTTGAATGAAATTGTGACAATCAAGTTACCCAAATTTCGTTCGTTTTTGAGTATTTTTCTAGGTATTTCATGGTATATGAGTCGAAATTGTTGCTAACGATTTTTTTTTTCCTGTGTTTTTTTATTTGGGCTTATCATGAGAATACTCTTTTTTTATTCAAAGAAATAGCACCTTATATATATATATATATATATACGCACACGAGATTGTTTTGAGGCATTCATCATTTCATTGTTCTGAATTCGAATGGTGTTCGGTATTTGTTTTAAAATCCTACTAATTCAAACCCCCGCTTGGAAGTCCAACTTTGACATACATTATTCCAAAAGTATAAATAAAAAAAGTACTCCTACATATTATTTCATTGTATATTAGAAAGTTTGAAAATCCTTGGCATGTTGATCATCCATGGTGAAGCAGGCATACCCCTTTTTCCTCTTCTTCTTCTTCATGGTAGTAAAGGAAAAAAGTAGTTTACAGTATGTACCAAAATCTAAATTAATATTTGATATATATACATAAGAAATGTTATAGACATATTTAAAGTTTTTGAGAAAAAGATTACAAATAAAAAAAGTTAAATAGGCAAGAAAGAAAAGGTAAACTGGATCCATTGGCTCAAGATTGAAGTCTTTTGTGCTGCGCTACTTTTATTTTTCTTTTATTACATTATGCATGAAAACAATAAGAGGCAATCTTATATTCAGCTATTATATATCTTATTTGTACCTCATAATATTAAAATTAATATAATTACAAATCGTATATACCTAATTAAACCATATTGTTCACCTTTTCATGTTTCGAGGATATCCTATTAATCTTTTCAAATTCAACCACCATATTGCTAAACGTGATCATCTTTCCTCATATTTAACTTTTACTTTTTCTCTTTATATTTTATTTTATATGTTTTAATAATATTTATATAATTTTTGTAAAGTTTGTGCTAATTAATATGAAATACACGTGCAACGCACGTGACCAGAAACTAGTGTATATATATATAAGGAAAAAGATTGCTAACATGGCTAGGGGCGGATGCAATTGGATGGAAGTAGTGTCATCCGACGTCGTTTCGCCCAAAAAAAAAATTAAATATTTTTATTAATATTCCGCAAAAATAAAGCAATATATAGTAATGATACCGTGATAAATAGTACTTCTTGGTCCATTGGTAAATTTTATATTTGGGTCCGGACTAGGCATTGCACTAAAATCACCCACAGGTGATGTAATTAGACAGTCTATCAGAACTACAAAATTGACTAACAATGATGCCCAGTATGAGGTCATGATTGCAGGTCTCGAACTAGCTAGGAGGTTGGGAGAGGAAGTTGTGGAGGCTAAGTGTGATTTCCTCCTTGTGGTAAACCAAGTTAACAGGACTTTCGTAGTCCGAGAAGATCGAATGCAGAGGTACTTGGATAAACTACAGGTGACTCTACATCGATTTAAGGAATGGACCTTGCAACATGTACCCCGAGAACAGAACAGCGAGGCCAACGCTCTTGCAAACTTAGGTTCATCAGTCGAAGATGACGAACTCAACTCGGGGACTGTCGTACAACTCATGAGATCGGTAATCGAAGAAGGTCACACCGAGATAAACTAGGCTAGACCTATACATTCTATTTTTTAACATTTTTGAGCGATCATTTTTGTTAAGGCTAAGGAGAATTGAACATATACTTCCTTTTGCAATAATATTCAACTAAACCATTGGGCCAAAACTTTTAACTTATGAAAAAATGATATTAAATAATATTTATTTATATATTTATTTATTTATATAAATACGACACCGTTTATAACAATTACACGTTAGTGTATCTTCATTATAGCAAAAAGCATACGGCTATTGATAGACGTAACTGCAGGCTCTTCTCTTTGAAGCATTTGAATGACTCTCCTAATTCATACTAATAAATAAGTTGAATTCCAAAAGTCTTTATAACTACTCATGATATAAAGCTCTTGGTTGCTGGTGACAGCATTCTGTCGCAACAATGGCTAAAATAAGAAAAGGAGATGAAATGGTGATATTGAAGCTAGACATCTTCTCCTTTTTAAAAAAAATAATAATGGGGCAACGGTAGAGAATTCAGATTCGGCCGTGCTAATTGTAGAGTGCTATTTAATTTGATGTGATTCAGAAATATCAGTCATCAAGTTTGTTGTGTGTTCTCCACATTTCTTCTATATAGACGTAAACATGACTCTCGAAACATGATTCTTGAAAATATCTCCTTGTGCACACACAGAGGCGGATGTAGCATAATACCGACGGGTTCAATTGAACTCATAACTTTTGACGCGAAATATAAATTTATGTGTAAAACTTTACTAAAATCGCAACAACGAGTAGGTATGAACACATAACTTTAAACATATAATGGGTTCAATATTAAAAATTTTAAAGACTAAACCCATTAAATTTAAATCTTGGATCCGACTCTGTGCATAAAGATAATCAGATTACAGCTTGACATCCCTTTGTGCTGTTAAAGGAAAACGATAAATAGCCCTTGGTTGCTATTATATAATCCAACATTGCAATTTGTTTAACTTGTGGCCGAGTGGAGACGCTTCTTTCATATGTGCAAGTTCCTTCCATTGCCTAGAGATTGGTAGAGAGTTGAAGTTGTTTAGTTTTCTTTTGCTTTAACCGTAAATGAGTAATGGAAGGCCTTTTTGAATTGCACTTCTTCATCTCACCCTTTTATTGTCTATAAATTTAGAAGTTTGGCCTCATTTTTCATATATGGAAAATCTGAAAATTTCTCCTCTCCATTCTACATTGTTGGATTGTTTTCTAAATAAACATAAGTGTCACGTATGATACTACAAGAAAATATTTATTTTGTGGGGGTTATTTTGATAATTTGTGACGGTTTCTGACTCCCACAAAATGAATTATGGCGATTTTTAAAAACGCCACAGTTATGATTGCCACGAGCAATATTGTGGCATCTTTTTAAAAAACCTACGACGACCACCACAAATTGAATTTGAATTTGTGACGGTTTTTGAAGACAAATAGTGACGATTTACAACCTCCACAATATGATCCCAATATTCTAAAAAAATTATTTGTGGGGGTTTGATTACCCCCGTAATATGATCTCATTATTTTTAAAAAAAATCTGGATTATTGCATTGAAAAAACAATTTTATTAGATAACCTATAACACAAATAAAATTCCATTACAAATAACTATAATACTAAGCATAAGAAGTTCAAATCTTTATCAAACTAAGCTAATACAAACTCATGTAAGGTAACTTAAAAAATTTATTAAACAGAATGTAACTTAAACATTATCAAATCTAAAATGGTTCTACAATTTATAAATTTATAAACATATAAAAAGCACTATGTATTTGCTTGGTGATTTTCATTGCTGCCATCCGATGATCCTCTTATTCCACAAGTGAAGTAAACATCATCCAGCTGAAATAATGAAATAAAAATATTTGATGAGAAACTTATAAACCACTAGCATTTCTCTAACAAAATAGGACTAGTAAACTATAAACTAATAATTAGTTAAATGCAGCGTATTAGTAATGAGAAAATTCTCAATTCACACGAGTCATCAAGGTGCTCTACTACGTCAACCTCAAACACTAAAGAATGTTGGTTATAAAATTACAAATAATCTTTTTCTCTCTCCAAGTTTTACACAGAGAGTAGCAACAAGCAAAGACCTTTGAGGAAAGTAAATACAAGAACAAGATTTTTCAGTTCACTTAAACCATCAAGGGAGCTAAGACAACCTCAGATGCTAAAGCACAATGCTTATAGAACTGGAAAAGTAGAAAAATGAATCTCACATAGCCAACGTATCGTCCATGATATTACCAACATTATAGACACATGCCAAGATACAAATCATGATTCTAGTTCTAGGAGAGATAAAGGGAAAGGAGTGCAACTTACAAATATTTCTCTTGCCCCCTCAGTCACATATGATCCAATCTTATTTTTTATGCATAGCAAGACAAATTTGTCCTCGTCCTGACTTTATCCCTGTCTCAGCCATCTAGGTATGAAAAAACTTTTAAGTATAAATAACTTAATTAAACAAGAAAGAATAGTTACATATAAGTTTAATTGTTAAAGTAAAATAAATAGGTACCATCTCTAACCATTTATGCCCTTATTCCAGAATTAAGGAACCCACAAAAGATCTTCCAAAAAACAGTTAGGAACTAACCACTCAATAGATCATCTCCAATAAATTTTGCGCCTTCCTTCCTGAGATGGAAAAAAGGAGGCTATTTTGAGCTGAGATATTCATATCACCTTACTCGAAGGAAATAGTAATTAAGCAGCATAATACCTTATTAAAAATATAAATGCAACACCAAAGAAATGTCTTTCTTTCTATAGGACTTCAAGACAAGAAGTGATGCCATGTTTTTGCTATTCTGCCTAACAAATCATTACAAGATGTCAACCAATCAGTTATCAATCAGATGTTCGTTTTCTATTTGAAAAACACTATAGGCACATCTAATGAAAAATAATGCACAAGCTTGTCATTTACGAAAGGGTGTGCAAGAAAATAACAGAAACCTACTCCAACATAACCATCAAGTAGTTGATATTATTCTTTTTTGCTTCTTATAGTAAGTGCCACTTTCATCGAATAACAGAAACCTACTCCAACATAACCATCATGAAGAACAATGCAAAACAGACAGATGTCATGGTCATCGAATTACTATTAACATATTTAGTTTTCTAAAACTACAACATAACAATTTGATGGTACTTCTATCGTACTTCAACTACAATTCTTAGAGATAATTGCCAATTTAGCAGAGCTTCTGAAGCAACTGATTGCTACAAAACAATTTCAAATGCTCCTCTGTTAAGTTATTCACCCACACACACTATACACCTATATACTGCAGATGCCACCAAACACATGCCAACTGCAGATGCTACTGGACTTTTCTTACCAAACATAGGTCTCTGTTTTGCTTTTAAAGAGACTAAATTGGAAGCAACTATTTTAATGACTCAAACTAATAAAGCAAACTACAAAACTATAGTGGAAAAGATTTCCAGTTTAGATAAATATTATAGCTCTGACTTTTCCATGGAAAATTTTCTTTTCCTCAAATTCTTCAACCTAAATACCCATCACAAGTTCAACCACAAACCACCAAAATACACTACTAAAGTTAGTGAATATTGAAATTAAAATTTGTCTCGAAAACTGAAATATTATACTCAAATACAACATGGAAAACTCAGGTTCTTGAGAATTCAGTGATGACTTCGCATGAAATTGAGCCCTAATTTTGCTTTGAGGGAGTGGTGACCCGAGGTACGACCTCCTATTTTAAGAGCATTATCCAAAGCTATAAGAGAATCAAAACCCTAAACTAGAAACAAATGAAATTAGAGGGGAAGGAACTTACAACTTCCATCCTTAATTAAGCAACCCCCATTCGAACTTCCCGACTCAAAACACTAATCAACGATCATACCAGTGGATGGTTTCAAGCTTAATCAAGCAACCATCACGAAAGAAATTGAAAGCAGACTTTTTTTGGATTTTATCTGGCCGCACCTATTGAGCATTTAGGGTGGTTATATTAGGGTTGATGGTATTTGGGGAAAGTGAGTGAAAGTAAAAAACAAAAGACGGAAATTTTGGAGGAAAAGGGAATAAAAACGAGGGAAATATTGCCGCGCTTGTTTTCATTTAAAATTAAAAAGAATTAAATATATTTTAGGTCACAACCCAAAAAATAATTTGTTCAGATAAGTAAATACTTTACCAATAATAACATCCTTTGTGCCGCAATGGAAAATATAGAACAAACTCACAAAATTTCAGAGTAATTCATTTCATATTCAAATAGTTGAAAGTAATGTATTTGTGGAGGTTATCAAAAACTTTCACAAAAGAAACCCCACAATAAGATAATTTTGTGAAGGTTAGAACAAAAGCACCACAAATATAATATATATAATGGGGGTCTTCTACAACTCTCACAAATAAGCTACCACAAAAAGAATTATTTTGTGGGGATTGGCACAAGCTCCACAAAATAAATGCATAGTGAGGTTTTTGTATAACCCTTATAAATAAACTGCCACAATTTAAAAGATTTTTTGTAGTTTTATTGAGTTCGCTGAAGTTCTGTGATTTGTAGTGCAGCTATCAAAAAATAGTTATTCCGTTTTATCCTGAGAGAATTTAATCCAAAACCTTAGTTAATGACACACTAGCAACATGTGAGCTCGGAATTATTTTTTATTTGTTTATTAATTAACATTTCTTTGCTTCTATAATTTTCTAGTTTTAAACACAGATTACCAATAATAATTTCCATGTCACGTGTGAGAAGAAGTTTCGCTTGCTTATTGTTTGAAATATTGAAGATATTGTCTTTGTTCGTGCACGAATGTTTTTCTGTGTGTTTAAAACTGTGATTCTTTTTTGTTTTGGTAGAAGTATCGAGCAAATCTAATTAATTATTGTTTTTTGTTGGATCATGCCAAAACAGCTAGAAAGGATTTGAGCTTGTGTCCTCTACTCAAGACTCTTCTTCTCATAGTCGTGTCTCGCTTTTGTCATTCTTATAATTTTTTTAGCTACAGGAGGAACCACTACAACAACGATAACATTTCCGTTTAATCTCGCCACAATTCCAAGCAAATTAACATTGATTTTAACAATTTGATGCGTTCTCCACACGAAAATAGTAATAGACGGTTATTAATATTTACTTGGTATATCGCGATGTCAATTTGTGTATTTAGTCACACAGTTTTTGCTAGAACTTGAATTCGTTTTTTCGAAATTCTCTTTTCAAAATTTTGAACCAACCGCCAAACAAAAAATCTCCTTTTTCCTCATTCACGGGCGTATTCACGACACAAGATGGAAGTGTGTTCCTCTAAGTTGTATGATAAGCCCAAATAGAGGTCCAAAATTTAGTGAAAATAGCACGGACTAGTCCGTTTTTGGTATGGGTGTTTAACGGGCCGGCTGGGACGGGCTAGACACAAAAAAAATCAGCCTGTCCGTTTAACGTTGCGGGCTGTTAGCGGGCTGAGTTAGCGGATTGTACTTTTTCGGCTTTTTTTTTTTCCGTCCGGGTTCGGGCTTAGCGGGCTGGACCGGGCCGTAATTTTTTATTTTTTTTAAAGTAAATTTTGTTTTTCTTATTCAATGTTATTGATACTTAAGTATTTGCAAACTTTTAAGGCTTAAAATTAAATTTTGAAGTTTAAAGTTTTAAATTTAAAATTTGAATTTTATAATTTTAAAATTAAAATTTGAAAGTAAGTGGCTACAAAAAATTATTTAATAAGACCAATAGGCAATATGTAAGGATCAAGCTCTGAAGACTTTCATTTGATATTTTTATTGAATAATATATAATACTTCAAATTAAGTTGCAAGTTCTTTTTTGATTTTGTTATTTTTGAACTTGCAAATTAAAAGTTTACAACAATTATAAAAATTAAAAAAAATAGTACATCACATGCTTTGCATTATTTTTATAAGTTCATCCATGTCAACATGAGGTTCTTGGTTTCCGGCATTGGTTGAATCAGAACCATAAACCATTATATCTCCAATTTGTTGGTCCTCCGCTTCATCAACCTCGTCACGCCCTTGATTTTGTCGTTCTGATCTTATCCAATCTCTAAAGCACACTAGAATTTCAAAAGCGTTGCCACCCAATGAATGACGGGTATCTCCTAGTTGCTGTCTTGCTTGGCTAAATGCGCTCTCTGATGCGACTGTTGAAATCGGCATATTTAGCACGTCTCGAGCCATGGCCAAAAGAACATGAAATTGATTTGAGTTGCTCCTCCACCAACCCAGTGGTAGAAATTCCTTTGTGCGGGACTCTGCTTACTTTTGCAAGTAGAATTTAAGTTCATCAATATTCCTGCTACAGGTTTGTTGATGCTCTCCTAGTATAGACCAAATCAAATAATCTTCAACACTATCATTATCATCCAAAGCACTGGTCCCATCTGTTGAAACTGAACTTGAAGGAATATTTGCATCTACAGCAGAAGAAGCATCAACAATGTTAGCATAATAATTATATACAATAACAACAACCCAGTATAATCCCACTAATGGGGTTTGGGGAGGGTAGTGTGTACGCAGACCTTACCCCTACCCTGGGGTAGAGAGGTTGTTTCCAAATAACCCTCGGCATCCTTCCCTCCAAGAACTCCCACCTGGCTCTTGGGATGACTCGAACTCACAACCTCTTGGTTGGAAGTGCTGGGTGCTTACCATCAGAGTAACCCACCTTGTTGGGTGCTTAGCATAATAACTATATAATATTTTTAAATATTTGTGTAGATCAGAAATACAAGTGTCAATGTCAGGAGTTTCAGTTGGTCCAATATCCATATAAGAATATAAAGCACTGATTAATTGGCGACAAGTAGTCATTTTGATATAAGGGTTTAAAATAGCACCAATTAGGTAAATAGGGGAAATTGAGTAAAAATATTTTTTAAACTTATCTAGCATAGATTCAACAACAAAATTATATCCTTCTTTCTTCTTTAAATTATTTAGTAAAAGAGAAATTTCAACAATATGAACTAAACCATTTGCAATAGTAGGATAATAAGCTCCAAAAAATTCAAGTGTAGCCACATAAAATTTTTATAAAAACTTTACAACATCTTCAATGACATCCCAAGTTCTAGATGTTAACAAACGGCTAGGATCGGTACAATGAGAATTAACAACTTCAGTTATAGGCATTCTATATTTATAACAACATTTTAAGAATAAATAAGTATAATTCCACCCAATAACTATTTCTTTAGGCATGAGTCTTGGTTTTAGTCCATAGTGTACACATTTTTCTTTAAATGCATTTAATATAGTTCTTTTATTATTTTCTTGAGTTACCCCAACAACTCTTCTAACTAAAGTGATATCATCTCTATATAATTCAAGGCCACTCTTCACAATCAAATTATAAATATGACATGCACATCTAATATGAAATATTTCAGGAAATGGTGGGTGTAGATGCAATTTTAATATTGTAATAGCAGCATTGTTGTTAGAAGTATTATCAAATGACACACATAAAACTTTTTCTGCAAGATTATAAAGTATAGCAACTTCATGGATAGTGTTACTTATAAATGCACCACTATGACTTTGATATTCATCATATTTAAAAGCAATAATATATTTTTGCATACAAAAATTATCATCTATCCAATGGCATGTAACAGTCAAATAATCATTACCATTTACAGCACGACTAATATCAGAAGTAAGAGAAATTCTATAAGAAAGACTGGCGAACAAATAACGTATATATGTCTGATATTGTCCAAAAAGCCTAAATATATCAGCTCTACAAGTACTTCTAGGAATACCTTTAAACAAAGGGTTATAAATTCTTTGAATATAAGTAACAAGATATGGTGAAGTAGCAAAACTAAAAGGTAAATAACCTAAAACAATTATTTTAGCCAATTCTTCCCGATCTTTCTTAATATCGTATTTACCCATTAACCCTCTAGTACCCGGGTTAAGTTTTTGTTGCCCATCTTCCTCATCTACTCCCCAATCAAGAGGGTGATTATCTACCATGTGCCTACGAAATTGACCCGTTCCCCCTCCCTTACCGGTCTCATGTTTATAAATATCCTTACAAATTCTACATCTTACATAATTTTTATCTTCTTCTAGTATGTCAAAAAAATTCCAACACTTACTTCTTAATCTTCGATTCTTCTTAATAGGGAGGGGAGGCCTACTTGTATTACCACGACTTTCACCCCTAATATTTTGAGTTTGACTAGCATTACCAGGCGTAGTTGGTGGTGTTTCAAGATTATGAGGTGATGGAATATCATCTAAATCATCATCTAAATCATCATCTGTACTATAATTTTCTTGATGTCCCTCATAATCTACATTTAAATTTTCAAGTGAACTTTTCAGAAATATGTGTAAAGCTACTAGAAGAACAAGCACCACCTCTTGAGCTTTTGAAAGTTTTCTTACTACCACCTCTACTAGTGCACGTTTTTTTGACTGCTCTAAATATATCCACTATGTAAATTAAATTAATAATTCTAAATAATAAAATAAATGNAACCCGCCCCCCCACGCTACAGTACCGGGCTGACCGGGGCTGAATCGGATTGTAAACGGATCAGCCCGACCCGATTAACATGTATAGTTTTTGGACTAGTAATTGAAAAATAGTGAGCATTTACAAAGTCATTGAAAAATAATCACTATTTGCAGTAATACGGAAAGTTCCAGCATAATATACTGGACATTGTAGCACCTATGTATGAACTTCTAGCATATTATGCTGGAGTCTAGACTAGTATATTATGTTGGAACTCCAATATATTATGATAGAAGTCCAGTATATTATGCTAGAATATTTTATATATTTTAAATAGTATTTTTGTTCAAATTTATCTTTACATAAAAAGTAGCTAAATTTTGATTACTTTTAAAACTGTGACTATTTTTTAATTATCACTTATAAAACTATTTTTGAATTTCACCCCAAAATTTCCCAGCCCAAGAATCTTCATACTAAAACCCTGACGGCGCCCTAAAAAACTAGAAGGAGAAAAATGTCATTTCAATCATCTCCTATTCGAACCAAAAAACCCTAAACTTCCATTTCTATAAAACCATAGCAAAACCCTAAATCACCACACTTCAAGACCACAATGCCAAAGCGAGGCAAGTCTACTTCTCCTATTTCTCCCAAAATCAGTAGATCCTACTCAATTATCAAAGCCCCTTAATTTTTAAATTGATTTTTTGGCAAAATAATGTACAGGACGCGGAGGTTCCGCCGGGAACAAATTTCGTATGTCACTGGGTTTACCGGTGGCGGCTACAGTCAATTGTGCCGATAACACTGGAGCTAGGAACCTTTACATAATCTCAGTAAAGGGTATAAAGGGTAGGTTGAATAGGTTGCCATCAGCTTGTGTAGTTGATATGGTGATGGCTACTGTAAAGAAAGGGAAGCCTGATTTAAGGAAGAAAGTTATGCCTGCTGTTATTGTTAGACAGCGCAAACCTTGGCGACGAAAGGATGGTGTTTTCATGTACTTTGAAGGTAAATTTTTGCTTTTGCTAACTTTGACGTTTGTGCTGTTGTTTTGCACTTTGGTTGTGTTATTCGATTTGAGTGTATCGGGTAGTTATTCTTTCTTTGCTTGTTTGTGTTTACCATATACTAGTAATGAATTTGAGTTAACTATGTTTTAGTTCCTAGTTGGCGTATTAAGTGGACAAGTGTAGATGGATGGGCCCATTGTTCATAGTAGTTAGTTATTGTTCTTAAATGGCCATTGGGTATTGCTCGAATTCAGCATCATTTGATTTTATATTAGTTTGAAGTAAATTGGTGATATGTTATATTATAAAATGTTAAAATTTGAAAAGATTGACCCTGATTGAAGACCAAATTGATGTTCTGTGGACATGAACTAACAAGTTGCTCTTGGTTGTTGGGACTTCATTGTTAGTATAGATATGCAGGCATATATATATACATACATACGAAAATATATGTGTGCACACCGCTTCAACAGTTTTTAAGCAGTATCGGATGAATGCTTAATTTTGCACACTCTAGTCAGTCTATAGTTAGTGGAATGATCCTGTAATATGGTTTGGGAAGTTGGTAATCTTTCTTCTTTTTATAGAAGTGATGTACCAATGTGTGGTTTAGCAGTATCAGCATCCAATTTTTTCTTGTGCATGTGTAATAAGAATTTTTGTCCATCTAATAGATGAGAGTCGGTCTTGAGATGAGTAGGTTTTTAGTCTTTTTGGACCTTGCTCTGTCAAGACTGACACAGTTCCTGTTCCATTTCTATCACTTTTGGGTCTCCATTGCGTTTTTCTCTCATTTTTTGGGTTGCTTTGCTGGTAATGTAGTGTTGAGAATTGGACTTAAGTTTCTCTGCACTTCCCATGACCAGCTAGAGTATAACCAATCTTCCCCTACCTCGGATGGTAACCTCGTTTACTCTCCCTGTCAAGTTTGGGAAACTTACATGTCATTAATTTATCATTCCTGTCCTGGTTTGCTGTCACGGGTTTTATATATCCATTTTAAGATTGTCATCTGGATTGTTTTGAAAGAGGCCGTGATTTAACACCCTTTTCGTCACCAAAGACTTACTGGTTTCCTTGTAAGGGTTATTGTTTGTATTTTCTGGCTTAGGGGTTGTCTTGATGCATATATGGCCTATTGCTGAATAGGAGATGTATGCAGGATGATGTGATGCATCCTTGAACCAGCAAAAATGAACAATTGGATATTTAATCGAGTGGGATCTCCTCAGGTGGACCTCACTTTTCGCGATTCGATACATTCTCTCCTTAAATTAATCACTTTTTAGAGATAGCAGAGCTTTAATTAACATCTGGAACATATGATTTTGTTAAAGTGAATTAGGCATGAAGATTACCACATGACTTTATTTATCTTGATTCTGATGATTGTAGGCATGAAGATAGCCTTATCCGCTTGAGTAAGGCGTGTTTGTATAATTTTGAAGCTTAGGATTGTCACAGTGGCAGTTAAAATTGTTGTTTGGAGAGTAACAAGTCATTTTGCAATATGATGTTTTCCCCTTTATTATAAGTTACCTAGCAGGAAATTTTGAACCAGACTTAGTCAGGTATTAACATCTTATCTTGTGGTTAATACAGTTACTAGTCTGGGAAATTAATGTTGTCTATCGTTACAGATGTGCTCATACCATTCAAGCACCTCTGCTACATATGTGCACAACATGAAGTAACCGCTTTTATCCATTCTGCATATGTATAGGGAGAAATTGTTGGCTTGGCCTCTAATGTTTTCTTTAGTTTTTTTTAGTTTCATTTTCTTTTGTAATAGATTATATAGTGTTTTTACATAAATCGATTTCAAAATTTTCTTGTTATTGTGGTGTATAACTTAAACATATCCATGCATTAGTCAGGTAACAACCTCTTATACTGTGGTTGATACAGTTACATGCCTGGAAAATCGAAGTGTCCATCGTTACAGGTGTGTTGATTCCTTGTAAGCTCACATTTGCTCCATTTGGGCTCTACATGTGTTATTGAGTTGTATCATGTTAAGCTTATATAGTGTCTTTATGTAATCCGATTTCAAAATTTTCTTCTTACTGTGGTGTATGACTTAAAACATATCCAGATATTAGTCAGGTAACAACCTTCTTATACAGTGGTTGATACAGTTACATGCCTGGAAAATGGAAGTGTCCATTGTTACAGATGTGTTGATTTCATTTAAGCTCACATTTGCTCCATTTGGACTCTACATATGTTATCGAGTTGTAGCATGCTAAGCATATATAGTGTCTTTACATAAATCTATTTCAAAATTTTCTTGTTATTGTGGTGTATGACTTAAAACATTTCCAGATATTAGTCAGGTAACAACCTTCTTATACTGTGGTTGATACAGTTACATGCCTGGGAAATGGAAGTGTCCATCGTTACAGATGTGTTGATTCCATTTAAGCTCACATTTGCTCCATTTGGACTCTACATATGTTATCGAGTTGTAGCATGTTAAGCATATATAGAGTCTTTATGTAAATCTATTTCAAAATTTTCTTGTTATTGTGGTGTATGACTTAAAACATATCCAGATATTAGTCAGGTAACAACCTTCTTGTACTGTGGTTGATACAGTTACATGCCTGGAAAATGGAAGTGTCCATCGTTACAGATGTGTTGATTCCATTTAAGGTCCCATTTGCTCCATTTGGACTCTACATATGTTATCGATTTGTAGCATGTTAAACTATATCTGCTAGTTATATATTTTACATACTTGAAGTGTGCAAGGTGGATGGAATGTGCTCTAGTAGTGTTTTGTACTTCTCAAGCACAGAAATGTTTCTGAAGGTAACAGCTACTTTTGCTGAGATCATAACATATGACTTGTATGTTTTTGCAGATAATGCTGGTGTTATTGTGAATCCCAAGGGAGAAATGAAAAGGTGAGGTCATGTGCTTAATCTTCGTCAAGAAAATACAATTAAACTTTATGCAATGGGGTATCTCATCACATATTCTACGCATTTTGTTTTGTTATATCATATATGATATATACTTTTCAGTTTCAAATTTTGATAGTAGCATTACATAGTGGCACGGCTTAGGTCTTTGTTTAGCAGTAATAACAACAATAACAAACCTAGTGTAATCCTACAACTTGGATATGGGGAGGGTAGTGTACACAGACCTTACCTCAACTTGTGAAGTAGAGTTTTGGAAGGGCCGGACTCTTGGGTGTGATGTGACAGTCTTCCTTAATACAAGCATTAGTGGTTGCTTAAACGGCTCGAACGTGTGATTTATAGGTCACACGGAGACCATGTTCAGCAGTATATCAAGAATTTAAACTGTTTAGTTTTCATAAAAAATTCAGTGTATGTATTGTTCATTAGCTGCTTTTGGCTGCTGCAGGTTCTGCTATCACTGGTCCAATTGGAAAGGAGTGTGCTGATTTATGGCCAAGGATTGCTAGTGCAGCTAATGCAATTGTCTGAACAAAGATTTAATATGCTGATTTTGAAACTGTTAGTATTAATGTTTCACATATAAAAACAAATGTAACGATGTTGTATTGCTCGGAGAGTTTCAACAAGTTCATATACCAATTATTTTTTCGCTTAATACCAAGACTTTGTTTAATTGTTAATAATATTCAGTTTGTCAAAGTTTTATAGATGATTCTGAATTATTGTCGGATTTATTGCTAAAGCTGCTGTATTATCTCGTTTGTGTCCTGATCTCTTGCTACGGCAAATAGCCAAGTGCTCACCACCAAATTAGATTACAATTACTTGAAAGTACTTTTTTGTCATTATTACGCTTTTACTAAACACGAGCAAGACCAAACGAATTGTGAGGTGTTAAATAACTATTGCATAAATAAGTGATTACATTTTCACTTTTATTAAAGTGAAAAGTTGTTTTAAATTGTAAGAGCTAATATTTACTACAGTACGTTTTATATGACTATCAACTATAGTATTTTCTAGCAAAAAAAGACTATTATTTCCCAAAGAAGGTACTGATATCTTCCAGTGTGCAGTTGCAAATTGCTATTTCGATAAAGGGTCTATCGAGAAAGATTCAATAATTTGAATCATAAGAATATTTGTTTAAATTTTATTATATCTTTTAAATATCTTATTTAATTGCAAGTGTTACAGCTCAAGAAGAGAAAAAGGGTGCAGTTAGGACAACCCCAATATTGCAACACAGAAGGCAAGTTACAAATTTGGCTGGTCGGTCAAAATTAATTACATATGTTTGTTATATATATATATATATATATATATATTTCCACTAGTGAGGTCTGGGGAGGGTAGTGTGTACGCAGACCTTACCCCTACTCTGGGGTAGAGAGACTATTTCCGATAGACCCTCAGCTCCCTCCCTCCAAGAACTACCCATCTTGTTCTTGGGGTGACTCGAAATCACAACCTCTTGGTTGGAAGTGGAGGGTGCTTACCACTATAGCAACCCACTTTTGTATATTGCATATTATATATACAAAATATATATATATTTTACTGGCTATTATTTTTTAGAGTGACTATACAAACTAGAATAGATTCTAAAAGAAAGTAATAAATGAATTTTTGATTTTTTTTAAAAACTTATTTCTTATTTTATTGCACTATCGCTTTAGGGCCTCCTGGACCTCATTGTCAATAGATGTTTTTGTTTCAAATAAAAAGCATATTCTTTTGACATCTCTTTCGCTTTAAAACATCAAATATCTGTTTAACAAAAAAAGATAGATCAATAATATAGGTACGTAATTGTTTACATCATACATGTTTCTGGATTGGGTTAGGAACCGGCGTGCCATAGCTGTTAAGTTGACAAATTTGTGTTGACAAAAGAAGAAATAAAAAAGGAAAGATGTGTCAAGGGACGTGCTACCGACTTGCCAATTAATTCCAATTATAAGTAGTTATGATTTAGTATAATTATTTGTTGACATTCGTCTATTCTAGGTATGGTTTACGAGTCATAAATCTTTGTTTATATTACTGGCAATATAAACTAATGAGCGTCCATTGGAACTCTGCCACGTGTCATTGATTAAGAGTGATGACAAAGAGGCTTGAGAAGTATAATAAGTATACTATACTTATTATACTTGAATTACTTATTTATTAAAGCTAAATATAAAAATTTACTTGCGAAACTTCTCGAAGTACTTGTTTATGTAAAATTTAGTGAAAACATAAAAAATAGACAGATTTATAACTGGTAATTGAAAAATAATCACAGTTTCAAAAGTAATCGAAATTTTATCTTTTTTCATGTAAAGATAAAATTTGAACAAAAATACCCTTAAAATCCGAAAAATCGCAGTATAATATGATGGAGTTCGAATTTTTTACATATGAGATTCCAGCTGGAATTTCATAATATGCTGGAAGTTTATACGCATGAGCTCTATAATCCAACATATTATGTTGGAACTTTTCGTGTTTCAGCAAAACAATGGCTATTTTTAATGACTTTGCAAATGTTTGGTTATTTTTCGATTACCAATCCGAAAACTGGCTAGTCCGTGCTATTTTTACTAAAATTTAAGTCTAATAAAACTTAATCACTTTTTCCCTAAATATGGGATTCCCAAGTCCTAAAGACCGTAGTGGAGCGGTAAATACATTTTCATTCTTAATCAACGATTATTGGATTTGAATTCTCAAAATGAAATCATTTTAACGGGAAACAATTTAGCCCATAAATAAAAAATTTCTAATGCGAATCCAAATTAATTAATAGGATCTTAAAGTAGATACTCTCTCCGTTTCAATTTAGATGGGGTAGTTTGACTCGACACGGAGTTTAAGAAAAAAAAAAACTTTTGAAACTTGTGATCTTAAAAGCTTAAGGAGTAAAAGCTTTGTGGGGTCATGATATTTGTGTGGTTATAAAAGCTTCTTAATGGGTAAAATGAAGAGTTTAAAGTTGAATTATTTTCAAATTTAGAAATGTGTCATTTTGAAACAAATTAAAAAGAAAATTACATAATCTAAATTGAAACGGACGAAATAATAAATAACGAATGATAACCAAAAAAACAAAATACAATGCTGGGAATAGTGCCAGGAGAAGGTGCCGTGGGTATGAGTATGTTTTTCCAACTTAAAATATGTCGAGGAATATAGTATGACAAAGCGATTAGGTTGTGATTTTGATTTGATTGTTATAATAGGACAGAATTTGGTTCTAACTTGTCTTTTTATAGGGATTTTTACCCAAATAGCCTGCGAGATTCACTGTATATTTTATTTAGCAGGTATACATATATTATATATTAATTATATACAGTTACATATATTTTATGAATTTTACATATATTATATATCAAACGGTTATTTTTAGTTTAAAAAATTAGGTGGACGGCTATTGGGGTTAATTCTTCCTTTTTATACTTCTTAAAGGTTAGGTAAAGACGATGCTCTGATTTGGGGATGTGCGGAGTACAATAATAACATACTAGTACTATCCCACACCGTGAGGTCTGGGAAGAGTAGTGTGTACATAAACCTTACCTTTACCTTGTTAGGATAGAGAAACTGTTATTTTCTATTATTATGGTAAATAGTCCTTTTTCTGACCAGAATTTGATTTATATGATGCTTGGCTAAAGCTTGTTTGTTAGTATAACATTTGTCTCTTAGTTCTCTTTGGACAATCTTTAATCAAAGAAAAAAACATATATTCTATCAATCGTAGAAAAAATCTCTATTTTATACGAAAAAACGTATTCAACAAAGATAGGCTTAAAAATAAAATCCTTTACTAAATATAAGTGACCGCAAGAGTTTGTAATGAATCTTTTATTAGTACTTTTTATAATGAAAATTTCTTCTTAATTATTTACTTTAAGCTTCCCCTTTTTCTATTTCTTTTATTCCATAAATAATTCCCGGGGG